AGCTGATAGGCGAAAGGAACAGTTGCGCAGTTACAGGAGATAATTGCACTCAGCTGGTGGTAATTAGGCTCCCCTCAATACTATAAAAGGAATGATTGTGCACATGCCCTTTTGCAGGAGTCAACCTATGCACTAAAGTTGGAGAACTTTTGGGGCTAGCTTGGCAGGCTGGATTGCTGCCAAGGTTAGTCTGTGGTGGATTGCTGCCACGTCTTGTCTGTGCTGGATTGCTGGCAACGTCTCATCTGTGCTGGATTGCTGCCAAGGCTTGGACTGTGCTGGATTGCTGCCAAGGTCCTGTCCGTCTGTTAATAAAGTCCTTGAAGTATCTTTGTCTCGGCGTCCTTTGGTGTAGGACGAGGGGTGTCAGAACAGATTACTAAGGAAATATTACAAAATACTAGTAAAATATTCAGATTAAGAAAAAAGATTTGAGTATATAGCAACAGGAAATAACCATAAAAGTCAGATGGGCCAGTCAATCTCTCTCAGTCAAACTCACTTCACAGGGTTGTTGTGCAGAAAATAGAACAGAAAAGGTAGGTTGATTATGTTTGCGACCTTGAGTCATTCATAAAAATAATAAAGGTGGACATTAATAAATAAAAAATACTTTTGTTCCAGGACATCTGTACTCGAAAAATATTAGTGCTATACACTATAAAGAGAAGAAAAAAAAAGAAATATCTAATTTATTTTGTTCAATTGTTTAACTTTTGGAACTTTGATCTTCAGTGAACATGATTTTTTTTTTAATCCAAGAAAAAATAAGGAAAATGAAGAAAAACTTACTGTGCAAAGGTTTTATCTGCAAGTTCAATATTGTTAATTTTCACAATGCATTCATTTTCATGGAAAAGTCCATCTCGCTTAGACCGGCTATTTTCCTCAATACCACGGATGAAGAGTCCTAAAATCCTGGAGGAAATGTAAAATACGTTTACGTGAACTTTAAATCATCTGTATCGGGTTGCGATTCAAAATTTGCTTCTGTGCTCTTTGGAAAAAAAATAGATCATTTCTACAGATTCTCCTTTTCCCCTTCAGGCCATTGAGTGTTTACTTAATTCACTGTATCTGTGCAAAATAAACCGATACGAATTTCTTCCCACTTTGTGCATCATCTCTATACTGTATAGATTGATTGATTGATTGATTGATTGATTNAGCCGGTGAGATTTGAACCGCCGAACTGCAGATAACAGTCAGCTGAAGTGGCCTGCAGTACTGCACCCTAACCACTGCGCCACCTCGGCTCTTGTGAAGTTGTGAAGCAGAAGTTCAGTTTACATACGGGGTAATTATTTTCCTCAAAAATAAGCTCCATCTGATTCTAGAAGATGGAGATCCAGGTACAGGAGTGCTAATGGAAATTTACATAACTAGCCTTAATACTGTTATTCTAATGATACTCATTTGCTACTTCAGACATGGCTGAACAACATGTTTTTATTTGCTCTGATTTCTTACGTTTTGGAATTGTAGTTACTTGTGTCCTTACCTTTTCATTTTGCTCTTTGGATTATCTATAGAGTGCCTTTAAAGTTTTATTAGCAGTATTAAAATGCCTCATGTGAAATATTCACCACTAAAATGTTGGCTGTATCGTTGTTATAATGAAAAGGATGATTTTAGTTGTACAATCTTGTTGCACTCTCTATGCTAAATTTGGGCTCAAAAGTATTGAGGAAATTTTTGGAGACAATAGCAGTTTTCTGGGTTTTATCAAATGATCCGAATCGTCTAATTAAAAACCAAGGCTAAGACTTTTTTTAAAAATTTATGTTATCGACAAAGTTGTAGGATATACTGGGAAGTTTATTTCAGGAAAAGGCAATGACAAACCACTGCTATTCTATTGCCAAGAGAGCTCTTCACAAAGGAAGTTCATTAGTTCAACCTCAATCTGAATCCCATGTTGGGGTAGGTGAGCGAGGTGTAACTTCAGCTATCACTTGGCCAATTGGATTCTGCATAGTAATTCTCAGGCATGTCAGTATATTGTATAAAGAGATTAAAGCCATGGTCTGCTTTTTCAGTCCTTGTCTTTCCTAGCTGTTTAAACTGATAGCAATAGCAGTTAGACTTATATATCGCTTCATAGAGCTTTCAGCCCTCTCTAAGCGGTTTACAGAGTCAGCATATTTCCCCCAACAACAATCCGGGTTCTCATTTTACCAACCTCGGAAGGATGGAAGGATGAGTCAACCTTGAGCCG